AGGACGAGAACCAGCGGGGGGGGGGGGGGTAGACAGACAGACAGACAGACAGACTTGGCGTACACACCGGGACTGTCAGCTTCAACCCCGCGGCGTTTACTTCTGGACCTGGGGGGAGCCGCTTGGCTTAAGTTGCAGTGATGTAATGCGAGCAGCAGCCTCAGAGTCACATGCCTGAACTTTCCCCAACTCCACCCCCTAATGTGTTACCCCCGTCCACACAGACACACAACTCGATTTCCACACCCTAGCGCACGTGACGACCCAAACGAGGGAGAGGAAGGCGTTGCTTGACCAGATCAGGGGACAGCTGAGTGGATTGAAATAATACTGCTGATGATGATGATGGAACTGGACTATGGTTATGATTCTTTAATGTCGCTGTGGGACCCCTTCCAGTTCTATAGTAGGCTATCTGCACGATTGGCCCAACATGTTCAGAAATGGTTTGGATCTAATCGGGCTGTGGCTGCTCAAAGCATATGCTTTCATATAAATGTAGATTCAGGTGGGTAGCTGTGTTGGCCAGAAGCTGCAGAACAAAGTTTGAGTCAAGTGGCATCTTTGAGACCAACAAAGTTTTATTCAAAGTGTAAGCTTTTGTGTGCAAAACACACTTCTTCAGACTTGCACACAAAAAGGTTACGCTTTGAATAAAACTTTGTTGGTCTCAAAGATGCAACTTGACTCAATCTTTAATAAATGTGTTAGTTGTCATGGTGTCACAAGACTCTTTGGTTACTTTGGATCTTGAGTATCACTGCAGCGGCCACCCTCAAGTCAGCAGCACTGATGCGACACCCAGGTAGGACTCCCTGCACCCAGAAAAGACACCTGAAAAGTCCAGGACCAATGCCTGGAAGCTGCAAGCAGAGGATGATGAAGACTGGCCAGGCACCACCAGCAAAAAGAGAGCGTGGCTTGTCCTGCTGTCTGAGTCATGGACTGTCCTCTTCGGGACTCTAAACCCCCTAAATGTCCATTTGTGTGCCTCAACCCAGTTTTCCACCCCATTTGATGTATTTGCATGCACCTGCATTTTCCCGGACTTCTGTTTCCTTTCCTTGTCCATAACCTGTATAAAAACATGTATAAAAAAACCTAAACATTCTCTATTAATAAAAGTCAATCCGTCCAGCAGGCACCCTCCTAGCCTGCAAGGGTCAGTGGTGAGCTGGCTATCTCAGGCTGATCGACAAACTATCTAAACATGCTTGTTTACAGGTAAAGGCCCTTTGATTTCATTGATCCAAAGAACAACTCCTAAAATAAAACAGAAGTCCAGTGGCACCTTCAACACTAACATTTATTTCAATAGGAGTTTTCATGACAAAGAGCTCACTTCTTTAGATACAAGAGGTTTATAGAAAATTACAGAAAGGGACGAGTTGAGCAGAGAGAGGAGAGGACAAGTATAATAAATCAGGTGTAGGGACTTGACACCTTTCTGTATCATTAAGCAGGTTACAAATGGCTGAAGATACAGAGCAAATGTCTTGATTACGCCAGAAATCTCAAGTTGTGTTTAAATTCCAGCTTTATCAAGATCCCATGGTGTGGGATTTGTGAGTCACTTTTGGTCCCTCTGTTTATAAGTTTCCCATTTCAAAATGGGAGCAGGAGTGACCATCTTTACAATATTATTATGAAGACGCAAGAGATCAAGCTCTTTGTTTAAATCTAGTCTTGATCATTAATTTATTAAGCGCCTTTGCCATATGATTAAATAAATAATAGATAAATAGAGAAGCCACTTCTCTTCGCCTCCGCTCCCATCTGCAGCCTGAGCACAGAGGTAACAGCCTACTGTTCAAGGCTTTTTAAAGAACTCCCATGAGATGTATGGGAAGCAATACAAGTACTACCAAATAACATACATACCAATTTTAACTGCTAAATGGATTATAAATCCTTGTAGAAGTAATGCTACTAACTGAAATGACCAAAGGATCACTGGATGCCCAGAAGAATAACTCGTGTGTGTTCTGGCTCATCTCCCTCTGCCTGCCTGCCTTCCTTCCTCTGCCCTTGTGCTGGGGCAGTGGTGTGTAGGTGAACAGGAAGGGCAGGTGAGCTGGAACAATGAAGGGATACAGTGGGAAACCAGAGCCAGATACGGGAGGAGAAACTGAGGGAGATTAGGGTTTTTTTTCTTCCCCGTGCAGCCTCTTTAATTCCCTTCTTGTGTCTCGTAACAGAGACAGTCCTGCAATCCTCCCAGTCTTCTCCTTTTTTGAGCAAAGGGATTTGTGCATTTGGCATGCACGTCTAGTACATAAACGCATTTCATTTTATAACAATTGTACGTAGATCAAGCACATTGGCCAGAAATAGAGGTACTTCGGAAGGAGAGGATTTCATCAGAAACACAAGGGGATACTGGGGTTGCCAGATCCAAGTTGGGAAACTCATAGAGATCTGCGGATGGAGCCCGGGGAGGGCAGGGACCTCAGTGGGGTACAATGCCATAGAGTCCAGCCTCCAAAGCATCCATTTTCTCAAGGTTAACTGCTCTCTGTAGTCTGGAGATCAGCTGTAATTCCAGGGGATCCCCAGGTCCCACCTGGAGGCTGGCATCCCTAGGGGATACCCCCTTGCATTCTGTAAATGAGGCCCTAAATAACTTCTTGGAATACAGAATTAGTTTGGGAGATGCCAAAGAGTCTTTCTATCCAGCCAAGGCCCCCAAAGCAGAAATCTCCACAGAGGCCTGCAGACATGAAATAAGCAACTCTCAACTTGTTTGGGCTTGTTTATTGTTGCCTTGGTTACATTCACAAAGACAGCACTCATCAGAACCTGTTTACATTTAATCATGAATTTTCAAAATTAGTACTTAAAATATTGTTGCCCTCTCTGCCACATTCAGACAAAAAAATCTAATAAAAGTGAATATGAGTAGGCTGTATTAATTTTAAAATACATTTTGAAACAGCTCTGTTCAAATGTATTAGGGGGAAAGAACCAATCTTGCTTTGCAGAACAAGTATGGCCCTCTCATTATTTTACCATGGGTTAACAAGAGCCAGATTTGCAAACTGCCTTAATTTGCATTAGATGTTCTCCCCAGGGACATACTTTGTCATAGAACTGTCTGCATCATGCATCTCACAGTGCAGTAATCATCTGCTCATGTATTTATTTATTTATTTAAATATTTATACCTCACCTTTCCTTGTGGCTTAAGGTGAATAATAAAATTAAAAATATCACAATTTAAAAACCAACAAAATAAGGCCCAACATAATCCCTCTCCCCACAAAACAGAAAGTCTGTAGGGAATGCCAAAATACTTGAAGGTCTGCCTCTACCCTATTTTCCAGACTGCCAGCTGAGATCTTATTTTCAGTCCCTCTGGTTTCTCTTCAGATCACATAAATCATTTGCCTTTTTACCCAGGCTTTTAACTAAAGGGTTTTCAATTTTTTAAGCTGTTTTTATGGTCTGCCTTTGGTCTGAGGACTGTTTAATCTCCTACCTTCTTTTTAATGGCTTCGTCTTGTTTTGTTGTTTTAATTGTAAGCTGCCTCAAGCAGGTCTTTGGAGAGGTTGCATATACATTTTCTAACTAAATAAAAACTCTGTTTTGTCAGACATACTGAATGATTTCTTCATTAATGGTGGCAGCTAATCAGGGTCACCTACAATGTTCCCTCTAAGCTGTGGAGTCTTGTGGGCAAAAATTCCACTTGGTGAGCTGCCAGCATTAAAGTTGTGAGCGAGCGATTTGGCTACTGCAGAAATCAGTTTGCTCTGGAGCCATCTTTCCTGGGCTAAGACAAAAATGTGCGAGCTGGAGGCTAAAAAACTGTGAGCCAACTCACACTAACTCAGCTTAGAGGGAACACTGGTCACCTACAGAATCTGCAGCCACATCTGATAACCGAGAAGCAGCAGCAGCAGCTCTGTCCCACTCCTACCCTGCAGTGACCCGGGAGGGAAAAGCTGCTCTGATCTACTAAGGGTTTAGACTAGTACAGGGAAGAAGCTACTCCTCCTCATTACTTGAAACCCTGTGGAGTAAAAAGAAATACACTCTAATTTCTATCGTAAGGACTGGAGTCAACACACAGTAGTGATTATTTATTTATGTATTAGGCTTTTATACCGCCCTCCCCGCAAGCAGCCTCAAGGTGGTTTGTCTTACCTAGCAAATAACAAAGTTCAGAGACTGCATTTTAGAAGACAAAGAAGATGATGAAGGAGAAGAAGAGGAGGAGGAGATTGGATTTATACCCCGCCTTTCCCTCAGAGTCCCAGAGCAGCTTACCATCTCCTTTCCCTTCCCCTCCCCACAACAGACACCCTGTGATGTAGGTGGGGCTGAGAGAGCTCTTTTGAGATCTGCTCCTGAGAGAACAGCTCTGAGAGAACTTATGACTGACCCAAGGTCACACCAGCAGCTGCATGTGGAGGAGTGGGGAATCAAACCTGGCTCTCCCAGATTAGAGTCCGCCACAAAATTTTCGGCGCTTGTTTTTTTAATTACTGTATGTTGTTGTGTATGGTTTTATGTTTTTATGCTTTTAGAATTTTGTACATCACCTAGAGCTCCACAGCTAAACGCCTGCAGTAACAACAACGAACAGCCACTATGGCTGTTCAAGACCCACCGTGGCCGGGGTCAGCTCCCGGCCCTAGTCCTAGATTCCACCCACCCAGCGGTTCAAAAGCAAAAGTAAAATGGAGCAAGTAGATAAATGGGTACCTGCCTTAGAGGGTAGGGGGCACCCTCCTCCGTGAGGTGTGTGGTGTGGTGGAGACATCAGCGGCGGCAGCGGCGACGATGGCAGCAATGGCGGTGGAGCGGTGGCGAGACGATCCCTGGTGGCCAATGGAGAGCAACATCGTGCGGCGAGACCAAGCGGAGGTGGAGGTGGAGTCACGGAGGAGCACGGTGATGTGGAGGCGCAGGTGCGACGGAGCCGAATGCGGACATAGGCCGGGCCGAGACTGACACGGGGCCACGCGCTAGGAGACCACAAGCTGGAGAAACGTTCAAAAAGATGGAAAAACAGACTGAGAGTATTAATAAAAGAGTGGATGAAGCAGAGAAGGAGAGATCCTCGGATAAAACGCAACTAATCCAGCTCCAGCTGGAAAGATCCATGTAAGTTCTACGTTTCCATGGAATACC